ATTATTATTATTATTATTATTATTATTATTATTATTATTATTAATTATTATTTTTGTTTTATACGATTTCGGAACTGTGCTGTTACGTGTTCGTGTACAGAATTTACTCGTCTCTTCACTGGCTTATATTACGTGTTCGATTCGAGTCACGTGTTGGTTACAAGTTCGTCGATATTTTCTTTTTTTTTTTATTAGTTCTTAACTACACTTGAAAAATGTCACCGGTGGCACGGGGCGCGATGTTCGTTTCGAAGATGGACGTTGTCGAGGTCGTGACGGGAGCCATTTCGCCGAATCTTGTTGCGTTCACGTTGGTTGTCGTGATGGCCGTCGTCATCACTGGCGTTTCTTCGGTCATGTCCGATGTCGTCGGCACCTGCTAATGTATCCCCGCGTTTCAATTCAGAATTGATGGTTACTTAGTTTGTAAGTTTTCGAAACCTCTTTCTCTTCATTCGTCCGAAGGAAAGAGGTGAAAGAGAAAGGACAATCGTTAAAGGCGAATTCATTTCAAGCGTTTCAATTTTCTTCAATCTTGACTTTGCTAGTCTTATGATTCGAGAAAATTCTTGGCAAATATCATTTGCAATCGGACCGTCAGGAGATACAAGAATTTTGCAATAATTACATGTAAGAAATATCTCACTTTGAGGACTTTCTCATCTACAACATTGCAATTATACAATTTCGCTTGCACAAGTTTTCCAGTTAATTGAATGAGGAAAAACTACTTTGACCTCGAGATCATAAAACAAATTAAACAAATCATCAGTAAATGTAAATTGCTAATTTACAACTCGCGGTATGAATTGATTTCAAATGAGCATCGAACGAATCGTGGCTGAAATATTTCCACGAAGTACCTCGTTATAAAACACTTCCTTCCCTTCCTCCACGGATGGCAACAGCTCGTCCATAGAGTGTGGAGTTCTAGGACTGGGCGTAGGGGCGATCTGTTGTTGCTGTTGTTGTTGCTGCTGTTGCTCCCGTTGTTTGGCCAATCTCAAGTCTTGCAACGCCTGTCGTTGCTCCTTCTCGTTTCTCTCCTTCTCGAGTCGTCGCGCGCTGTAACTACGGGCCGAGGACGTCGAACTGTGAACCGACGTTAAGCTAGGGCGACGAGAACCTATATATAGG